ATACCCAAACCGATATACCCCACATAACCTACCACCCAACCCAACATAGCAAAAACATCCCCATCCCCATGCCTATCCCCAAAATTCCCATCGCCAAGCACCTTATCAATACAATAAGCTTGCTTTGCTTACCTTAACCCTTATCAGTCAGTCAGTAAGCTTTGAATTTATTTCCCCGAGCATTTCCGTTATCAATGTTTCGTAGATCAAAGCGGTGATTTAACCTGTTACTTATATGATGATTTGGGTAAGGGATAAGGTAAGTCTTACTAGGTACGAGGGTGATGAATAATGAATAATGAATAGTGATGATGGTAGGAATAGGGAGGAACGCTGTATATGTAGGAGGGAAGTGAAAGGAAAGGAAAAGGGGAAGAGGGAGAGTACTTGCCAAGGAGATCGCGTAGATAGTAGGTAGTGTACTTGATTCTCGAGATCTTATAGGTTTCCAAGGGGATGGTAAGGTTATGGTGGGGTTTTTTGTGATAAGGATAGGTTGGGAATTTGGGTTTTGAATATGGGGTTGAATAATTAATAAAATACTTGAGAAGTCAAGTTCTCAATATAAAGTCTAGTCCTACCATGCATAAAGTATTTCATTTCATGTTTCTTCCACTTCCGCAAAAAAATCCAACCTTGTACAACTTACCATTAATCGAAACCCATCCCATCCCAAAGCACAATGAGCACACCCATCTTCAACCTCTCAATCCCCAACGGCGGAAACCCCCAACTCATAGACGTCAACGCGCAATATTCTGGTTACGAATTCCACTACACGTACATCATCTTCTGCGGATTCATCGTCTGGCTCATCATCCCCGGAATCGGTCTTCTTTACAGTGGACTTGCACGGCGAAAATCAGCTCTTACTTTACTCTTCCAATCGCTTCTCGTAGTGGCAGTAACGACGTTTCAATGGATGTTTTGGGGCTATTCTCTTGCGTATTCGCGGACTGCGGGTCCATTTATTGGTGATCTAGCGAATTTCGGTTTGAGGAATGTGATGGCTGCTCCGTCGTTGGGTAGTGCGGTGATTCCGGAAATCGTGTTTTGTTTGTATCAATTGCTGTTTTGTGCGTGTACAGTTCAGATTGTGGTTGGTGGTGCTTTTGAGAGAGGAAGGATTATGCCAAGTTTGGTGTTTGGGTTTTGGTGGGCTACTGTTGTTTATTGTCCGATTGCTTGTTGGACTTGGAATCCTAGTGGGTGGTTGTATAATGTGAGTTTTCACCAAACCGTGAGACCTCCTGGAGGAGATATAGACTAACAAATAAAAGCTTCCTTCTTTGGATTTTGCAGGTGGTGGTCCAGTTCATATTGCATCTGGATGGTCTGCATTGGCATATGCTCTCGTATTAGGAAAACGCAAGCACACTGGCGAGAAGTCTCATGGTAGACCACATAATACTACACTTGTTTTCCTTGGTACAGTACTCATTTGGTTTGGATGGTTTGGTTTCAATGGTGGTAGTGCTTTGAATGCCTCCATTAGAGCCATGCTCGCTGCATTCAATACCAATACTGCTGCTTGCACTGGAATGCTTGGATGGGTTCTCGTCGATTATATAAAACATGGTGGGAGATTCAGTCTTGTAGGAGCTTGTGAGGGAGCAATCGCTGGACTTGTAGGAATCACTCCTGCTGCAGGATATGTTTCCGTTTGGTTGGCTGCAGTCATTGGTTTCATAACTGCAGTAGTCTGCGCATTATTACAAAACGTAAATGAATGGCTTCATATTGATGAAGGAATGGACGTCTTCAAACTTCATGGTATCGGTGGGATGGTAGGAAGTATTTTGACTGGAATATTCGCTACATCTTCTAGTATGTATTCCCATCCTTGGTGTCATGATACTTATACTAATCATTGAATAGTAAGCATGCTTGATGGAGTAACCTCGGCCTCAGGTGGTATTGATGGAAATGGTATTCAAGTGGGTAAACAATTCGCAGAGATTACCGCCATTTCAGCCTACTCATTCATAGTGTCTTGTGCTCTTCTCTATATCCTGAAATTCATTCCAGGAATGCACTTGCGTGTAACAGAAGAGGCTGAGATTCAAGGCTTAGACATGGATCAATTCTTTGACGAGCAAATTGGTGATTGGGCAATATTTGATGAATTGGATCAGAGGAAAATGGTATTGGATGGGATCTCGCCAGGAACGCCACAGGTGCAAGAGGTACAAGAAAGGGTAGAACAGACTAAGCAATCTTAATTGAAGAACGGGAAGGACGATATATAGCACCACTTCCTATAGATTAGAATAGGACTTCGTTTGGTAACCTTACTATTGTGGTGTTATACCTTTGACGTGCTTTACTGTAGCAGACACCGAGTTCAGATACACGAATGGCACTTGTAATCCTCGAAGGCGCCGCCAGTCTTGATTATGATTCTGGAAACGTAATGGTGTTGGAGGTATAGTTTCTTTTTGTGGCCCATCGTTGTATCCATCATGTGGATTGTAAGATTACTTTTCGACTGGAAATTCTCGAAATAGCTACAATTTGAGAAGCTATCGCGCCATGAAAAGTTTGGATTGTGATCCGGTTCTATTAACGGAAATCAAGGATTGTTAGTCAATTTAGCATTTTGGCCGGTCAGAATTTGTGGTTCTGTATACGTTGAGTGAGGATTCTCACAAGATCTTTTCCATCCTTCGAAGACAACGAATACCCTTGAATGAGGTTTGAATGAGGGTCCGCGACGATAAATTTCGTATATTACCCCGAACTTCATTGAGGTTCAGCATTTTTCCAATTTACATAGGCACCTTTTTCAAATAAGGAATTGTGGCGCCCGAGATTCCGGGCGCTTAAAAAGATGAGTACATTGAGTGAGATGAGGCCAAAAATTATATTAGAGTCAACGGATTGAGGTCAAGGCCGAAAAGAACGATACCTTTCTGATCACATCTAGGTGGTACCTAGATCATATACAGCTTGTATCGCCGTGATATTTTTCTTGATATCCCATTTATGGTATTTGGAGATCCACTTGAGCTGAGAAGGCTGGGAATGGGAATCGGAATCATGCATCTCTGTCTGTTGTTGACATCAACAAAACGCGTTTGAAAAGAAGAATAATGGGGAGTTTGATTAAATGATCTGGTTGGCGCATACTCCACCACCCAAAAATAGAGTTCCTTTCTTGATTGAGGGTGAGATTTTAATATATTTATTAATCTATTGCCATGTTTCTTTGCTTGGGGATGTTGTGAAAATGGGGTTGACATTCTTCGTGTTTGTGTTTGTGCATCGGCTAATTGCAGACATTTTATAAGAGATTACTAACTAGTTGACCTAGCGACCCACACTACAAACATCATCACATCAACATCAACATCAACAAACATCCTGGGTGTGTACCCAAGCATAAAAACTTCAATATGCATGTAATCCTTCCTCCCGCACGGTGTCAAAACGGTATGGATATAACCTTTATTTGGTGCGGGGCAACAATCTACGAGCTTTGAGCTTGTCTTCTTCAAATCATGAAGGATCACCGAGGATGATCAGCATAGTCCAGTCAGCAATTTGGCTTAATATCAATGCAATGAACATCTCGACCTACCAATCAAAGTCTCGGGAGTCTCCCCATCCGATGAGTTGCAGCATTACCTGAGGTCGCATAATTTTCAGACAACCTTCCAGAACTCTTCCATTGGAACAAGGTTTAACAATCATGATATCTGATTTGTCAATAAGGTCCGGATCAATACATACGACGGCAGCCTTAGCCCCCATGCTATTTGCCATATGGTTTCCCACAGATCTTGGGATGAGCGACAGGGGAATGGCGGAGGACAAAGGTCAGAAAAATTTATATCCTGAGTGGGATGATGGTAAGCACAGACACGTTTTTGATATATTGATCAGTGTTTGTTTTTCTGATAGATATATAAAGTCGTGCAATAGTCACCTTTGATTATTATTCTGACTTTTCACACCATTCTCACTATCCTCTCCATCCTCTACTTCTTTCCAGACCTCCTCCTCCGATCTTCAAGCAATTCCAAAGATTCAAATGGTCATCTTCAAAGTCACTCCGTTGCTTCTGGCTGCAGTCACAAGCTTCTTGTCCCTTGGAGCTTTTGCTGCGACAAACTCTACTTCATCTGTCACCATCAACAGTGTCACATACAAGAGTGTTGAGCATATCGATAGAGATGTGGTTGTAATTGGTGGAGGATCCTCCGGAACTTATGCTGCAATTAGTCTACTAGACGCAGGCAAGACTGTGGCAGTAATTGACAATCAAGATCGTATGGGAGGCCACACAAATACCTATACCGATCCTAAAACTGGTCTTACTGGAGACTATGGAGTTAGTGTCTTCCACAACATAGAAATTGTCAAGACCTATGCCGCACGTCTCAACGTCACCTTGAAAGTGTCTGGCACATCAACTCTATCTACCGTCTATGCAGACTTCCGAACTGGTCTTGAGAACACCACCTACTCAACCGCGAGCTTCACTACTGGTCTTGCACTCTACATGGCACAATTGCAGAAATATCCTTATGTCGAGACTGGCTTTGACTTGCCAAACCCAGTACCTGAAGATCTCCTTCTCACCTTTGGAGATTTTGCAATCAAATACAACCTCGGCAATGACTTTCTCGGATTTTTATTCAGTTTTGCTGAAGGTCTTGGAGATCTGTTGTCAAAGCCCACTTTGTACGTTTTCAAGAACTTTGGTATGGGAGTTATCGACTGTCTTACCACTGGCTTCTTGGGTACCGTCGAAAATGACACCAGTCTAATTTACGAGCACGCCCAAGTAATTATCGGCGACGACAG